AGGAATCTCTTTGCTTCTATCAACTGCCCGCTTCCGTTTGTTTATCAAATGTTACCTGCTTTTAAACAATTTCTGGATTTATTCATTTTTTAGAAAATATAATTTTCTTCAAACAATTATTATAATTTAACTCCTAAATATTATAGATATGAATCGAAGAGAATTATTACTTGTTTATTTTTCTTGCTTATTTAGACTTCTTTTACTACAACTATTCATTTTTTAATGAGCTTTTTAGATATTGTTTATGTAAAAACTAGCTGTTACACCGGACAGTAATTCTTCACGAGTTCGGTCATAGGCTGGTACAAGATCTCATAAACCCTCTTTAAATAGGATTCGGAGAATGTGCGAATATTGACAGTTTGTTCACGGTTGTGTTCATGTGGCTTCCCTTTATTCAGATCAAGATTGCCAACTGATTATTTTATTTTTTTTATTGGACGACTCCAAACTGCATAAAACCTCCTGAAGAAAACCTACAAAGCCGGGTCATAATGTTCACTTCAAATAAAATAGTTTTTTATTTTTTTTTTCGTCATGGTTAATGAAAGCCGGTAAAGAACTAGGGCTCGAAACAAACGCGGATAAAACAAAATACATGGTTAACTGCAAAAATGGTGATACTACTGGCAATATCGATATAGATGGTAATATGTTTGAACTGGTAGAGAAATTTAGGTATCTAGAGTCTGTGATAACTAGAAAAACAGAAATTGAAGAAGATATTAAGGTTAGACTGAAGGCGGGAAATGCCTTTTATTTTTCTGTGACAAAACTACTGAGCTCGCGTCTCATGTCCAGGAACTTAAACATTAGAATCTATAAAACCATTATCGCACCTACAGTTCTTTGTGGATACGAAAATTGGCCGCTTAAATTAAGGAATGAGCAGCGTCTTAAGGTTTTTGAAAATAAAGTATTGCGTAGAATATTCGGACAGAAGAAGGATGAGTTAACCGGAGAGTTCAGACGGTTACACAACGCAGAATTGCGTAAATTGTATCCGGGTAATATAATTGAGGTAATTAGATCGCGGCGAATCAAATGGGCTTGTAAAATTGTTGGGCTTAGTAACGAGAGAATTCCTAAAAGGTTAATGGTGAACGTCCGAGGGGTAGACCGAAGCGAAGGTGGGAAGATTGCATTAAAGCCGATCTGAAGGGACTGGGTTTGGATGGCGAACGGTGGAGGGAGGTGTGTAATAAGCGATTGGTGGTGTCGGCAGCGAACCTTCGGGTTTGCTAAGGCTTTTATTATTATTATTATTATTATTTTAGCCTTTCTTTGACCGTCACTCCGTACCATCTTACTCAATTCAATAATATACCACAGTCAACCTTCAAGTATTCAATATGTCACAAAAAGCACGCGGCCAACAACAAGATACAAACTCAGCACCTCTCCATAGCAGTACCAGACCCCAAATTAACTACTGTTGCCAAAAAGCGAGAACGGGACGATTCTGGGTCTTGCAAACTCAGTCTTGGTCATGGTCTTGGTCTTCTTACCATCTTCTTACTCAATGATTTTTTAATATTTAAAATGGGTTCTTAATTAGCATCAGATATGATGGCAATAATTTAATAATATTTTAAATAAATATCTATAATTTCTGAAGAGTCGTACAGTTTTTGAATTGCACTCTTGCATGGAAAAAAACGCTGCAAATTATTTCACAATAGTTTATTACTTCCAAACAATTATTCATCTGAAGTAACATTGCCTTCCTAGTGACAAAGAAAAAGAAATAAAAGATGATGCCAATTATTGGACTAAACATTTTTTTTTTCAGTAGTAATATGCTAAAAAAAATTAGCATTACTTCGGTAACACATTCAAAAATCAAAAACCATAACAAAGGATAGAAACCTTTGCAGTAGAAAATATCAAAAACAACTAGAGACCATATCTTTGTTCCTAATAATCCGATTGTAACTTTTAGTTAACCATATACAATATCTACAAAAAAGTGTATACTTTTTGAGTTATTCGGAATTTAATTTTACCAGCACCCTCCGAGGGGTCTGAAAAGAAGGTGGTCTCGTGTTCTTCTTGTGTAAATTTATTATTTTAGTGCTAACAGTGGGTAGTTTCACAACAGGAGATTTCATGTATATATATATATATATATATATATATTCCTGAGTGCACATTTACTAGTTGTATTTTTTTTTATAATACGGTTGTAAATATCAATGAATAAAAAAATTAATTTACCATCCCTCGTAACTTTTTTTCTAGCTTCTTTTCGTTGAAGTATGTTATATAGACAAATTTAAAGGGCATCGAGAAGAATACAGGTTTTCTGTCGCCATCTTGAAAGGAAAAGGCGGATAGAAATATAAATTAAGGAGGATCATCCTCGGGTGACCTCTAATTTTAAATCTAAATTTGAAAAAAAAAAAAGGTTTAGTAGTTTCGGGGAAAATGCGTGACGGCGGAATGTGGACGGACAAAAAAATTTGTATTAATTTTTCGAATTCTATGAACCCTGAAACGTAAAACCTCAAATTTGAGAGGGGGTTAAGTTTTTGAATTTTTCGTTCGATCACAATGGTTCATTATTGAAACTAATAAACCAAAAATTGCGTTAATTTGAGTTGAATAATGACATTTAACCTTCTAGCATGCACGCTTGCGCTCTGAATGCACCAGCCTCGGTTTTCTGGCTGTTAAATCTCTCCAACTATTCCGATTTCGTGGTAATCATAGCTATTCATTTATCGAACCCTTATTATCCTTCTGCTGCCTTTCTATTTTTGCTGTAGATCTTTACATCAATCCGTACCTATTTAAATTTTTTTTAAATCTGATGTGACATACTCCGTGCGCCGTGGGTCCACTCCTTCCATAATAGGATATTTTTGGTGTTTGTGGTTGAATTTAATATTGAAAGAAAGGATTCGAATATAGAATATGTCATGTATACGGATGAAAAAAGAATATAAACGATACAGAAATACATTCTAATTGTAAAATATTCACTTGCAAAGCCCATCGTGTGATTGAGCATGTGTTCAAAACTAGTCTGAATACGATTAATTTGAATGAGTGATTAATTTGTTGCTTTTAATATTTAAATTTTTCCGATTGATTTTTACGGTAAACTTGTGTTGTTTTGTAATGAAACTTACGTGCTATATTATCAATTATACATGAATTATATTTATGAAAAATAAAATTCAGGACTTTCAGTCAAGATATTATAATAAGATATAAATATCTTGACTGAAAATCCTGAAAATTTTGTTTCATATATATAATTGATCAGTCGGCTGTTTTCATGTGTAACCTATCAAATGAAAGTACATAAAATGTTTTTATATTTATTTTTTTCTTTTATATGTCCTGCCTTATATTGAATTTACAAAAAAAGATACAATAATTTATGGGTGATAAATATTCAGGACGCAGTCTTTTTTTTATATATAAATTTTTAATTTTTTATTTATGCTAACGTTTCAACATGTGGGTCATCTTCAGGGCTGAAATTTTTTAAAAATACAATCAGTGATATAATATTATACGACCGATAGTAAGTTTATTATTTACCATTATCGCTCGTATAATATTATATCTGTGATTGTATTTTTACAAAAAAAATCAGCCCTGAAGACGACCCACACGTTTGGGTAACGTTGGCATAAATAAAAAATTAAAAAATTTTATAAAAAAAAAAAAGACTGCGTCCTGAATATTTATCACTCATGATATGCAGAACACTCGACTAACTTCCTTCAATAATCCAATAATTTAATATAAATAAATGCTATTTATAAATTATATAAATAAATAAATATAAATGTACGAAATAGTAAATTTAGAATTTAAACAACAGAAAACCAAACAATAATTATTACCAAAAAGGCATCGCGCTCATACTGATGTTAAAAATTAAGGCGCTCACTGGAAGGGTAAGTGATAAAGAGCATATATAAGATTGAGAATGGAATTCTCAAATAATTCAAAAAGGTTCATATTTACCTTAATAGGTGAAATAATGGTACGTCTCGGAAATGGTGAGGACTGGGGTTGTTGCCTCATTTTACTATAGCGTGACGTATACTGTCACCAAAGACGGTACTGTCAGTGTTTCCCAGCTCTACTTAATAAACATGCGATTATAAGAGCTAATAAAGAACATTATAAACTATATATTTTTATTTAAAGACGACCATTAATCTATTGAACTCTGTATAGTATTTTATATTTATCCAAAGTCATGATAAAAAATATTTTTAATTTGTAAAAATATACTGCTTCTGCTACGTCACCACTGGTCCTTAATACCAGTAATTGGGGTTGGGAATGATTGGGAACTCCTAGAGCTCTGATTTTCCTTCCATGAGTGGGAAGGTAAAGGCTTGGAGTTCTACTGAGTAAATGAATTTTAAAGATATCGTATAGAAGTATATTTGTACTTAAGTTGTTATTTTGATTTGTTTATTTTTTTTTTTTTTTTCGTGTTCAAGATTTAATCAAAATTCTATTTTGCTTTTCATTTTGTTTTGTATATATTTACTTTCAATATTATTATTTTTTTGTTTTCTTTATTTTTATTTATTGTGCATAAAGTGTGAACACTATTAAAAACGTCCTTAATGGTGACAGATTGTAATATTTCCCAATGAATAAGTTATGAAAAAAAATTGTATTTAAATATATATAAATCAAAATTTTATTTTTTTAAAATTATATTATATTTTATTCTTTATATTATGAGCGCTCTATATTTAATAAAATAACAACATCTAAAATTTCTAATTTTTTGTAAATAAATATGATTATTTTTTTACAACTCAGTTTTTTTATCAAAACTTGAAGTCATGATCTGTTTATCACTTGAACTATTCACTGTTTCATATTATTTTGTTTATGACAGCTGCGAAACATATTTAAAGAATAAAAAAAAAATTGTAAAAATATAAGATAAAACAATTTTATAACAAAAACTTTTTTCACTTACCTGATTTGTTGGTTAAAGATTTTCAGTGCGGCTTCAATTTAAATTTTTTTTTCTGAACGAGTTACTATGTTAGATTACTTACAATGTTTGAGTACCATTCTGAGACCACCTATATGAAAATAAATAATACAGAAAACAATGAAATATTTAAGATAAAAAAAGAAGAATATTTTGGTAAGAAATAAGAACAAATAAACGAATGGAACGGATTTATTTAATTTCTATAATAATACACCAACTGTACAATACGCTAGCTGTACAGCAAACACCAAAAAAAGTGTAATAAAAGAGTTTAAAATATGTATATTTATAATAGTATATTTTTATTTTTTTTTTGTATCAACAAAAATATGGTAACATTATAAACAGTTGTACAATAATGCCTCAATTACAATAAGGGCCAGAATTAGTTGAAAATGGACCACGAATTAATATGATACAGAATATTTTGAAGAGTTCCATTTTCAACTAATTTAGCCCCTTTTTTTATTTTATTTTTTTTTATTTTTCATATATATTACAAAGCTCATTCTGGTATTTGAGCATAGGCTACGAAAAGAATAGTAGACTATAACGATCTCCCGAGAATAAACTTAACACATAGCTTTGGCACAGGTTTGATAAACTCAGTTTAATTTTTAATTTTTTTTCTCTTTCGAGATATTGCACTGTAGATCACACTAAAACTTCACCCGCGTCTCGAATTAAGAGTCACGAATCACTTTTGAAACCGTTTTTGCCAACGTGACTGGTCTCAATTGATTACAGATCTCGTGTGTCTGACTTCGAAAAATTCTCTGGGTATTTGTTACTGACTCCATCCATAAAAAAAAATAATAATAATAAAATAATAATGTATATATATATACAATAGTAGTTGATACTCTATAGACACGGAAACATTTCTTTCGTATTCTCTCAAATTTCTATAAAGATTGTTGAAAAAGAGTAAAAAATACAAAATTCCACTTCTAGAAAATAAACTTAAATGCACAAGTTTTTGGTATGTTAGAGCCAAGTCGGTGTAATTTGAGCCCCGGAAATTTTATCTATTTTATTTTGGAGTTATTTGTAATGTACGGAAAAAGAGAAAAAAAAAATCAATAGACCATACAAAATCTTCAATTGAATCCATTTCAGAATTGTGTTTGTCTGACATATTATTTAATCAAATTCGTTTTGGACATTTCACTTTAAGTTTTACAGATTCTATATCTTGTCTCTTACTCCGACAATTTAGTGAAATAATTGTTATTAAATGAGGAATTTTCATTATTTAAAATATCTTTTATTACAATTTTTATAAAATATTTTATTGTCTAAAGGAAAAATTCACCATGATCTTCAATATAATTAAAACTTTTGAGATAACTCTTGATATATTTACGTGTTTTTTTTTAAATAAATATATTTATAATATTGTTATTTTTAAGGTATAAAATAATGTATAACATAACAGATGATCATATACTGATTTCATCTATTAAACAAATGTGTTTCATTATTAAATAAAACATATTATTATTAATGGGTTTTAAAGTTTTCTTGATTTATTAACTAACAAAATAAAAATAACGAAAGATTAAATTTCAATTTAAGTAGGAAGAGGCCCTTATTCTAGGCAGCATACTAAGAAAAAATAAATATTTATAAACCCTTTATTATATATTAAAAAATATATATAATTTATTCTTGTCTCAAATATTCTAATAACAATTTACAAACACATCTTGAACTGAATTTCCGTACGTAATTTAACTATCATAAATGTGTTTGGGTTTAACTTTCGCATAAGAAATAAAATAACATGATATTTATGGTGATTTTTTTATAATCTACGCTCTTTTTTTCTCGGCTGATTTGAGATTATATGAATTGTAATTTGGCAGTTTAGTGGAACCCAATAGTTCAACTCTATGTCCGAACATGATTCACCATTGTCCAGTAAATGATGTTTTAGTGATTAACTGAAGGTTTAAGGGATTTGTAGTTGTCTGAAACGAATGATAGCTTCTAGATGATTTAGTGACATAAGAGGGTTCCAAGTATATCAGAAACTGGATGATGACAAACAGGTTATGTCCAACACGGTCAAGTTAATTGTATCAAAAGAAGACATGAAAGGATATCATAAGTTAACAACGATATTAAAGAATTTAAATTATTGCTATCGAAAACGATTGATTTTCATGACTCCAACAGACGTGACGCAATAAAACATAGTTGATTGACTGTTGTTTTGTTTTTGTTAAAAGATTTAAGAAAATTATTTACTTCTGAAGTCAGACATCCCGATGAGATACGAGATCCGCAGCCAAAGGACAGACATGGAAGGCAGTTAATAGGGCCTCCAGACAGCGGACTGCTGGTCGGACCGCGCCTCGTCTTGACGGGGCTGCGGTACCGGAGGCTCGCTTGGGTAGAGCTGGGAGTAGAGAAGGCTGGGCAACACAGGGTAATGGCTGGAGTTGTAGCCGTACTCTTCGGAGGTTGGGGACTCGGAGCGGTACTCACCGTACCTCCCCATCAGCTGCTGATCCAGTTCCCCGCCGGTCTCTGTCGCCCCGACGCTCACTGCGATGTCGTTCGAGGCTGAAATGGTCCAAAAGAATTAGTACAACTGTTACAACAATATATATTTCTCAACACCGTGAGAAAGAAGAAAAAAATGTGGACAACATTCAAGAGAAATTTATTTTTTAATCATTTTAAGATGTCGAAGAGAAGGCTCTAAATGGATATAGATACATTCTGCATTATCGCTTCTTTTGACTGCATGGCAGAATCGGACATAATGTATTCACAATTAAAAATACAAAATAGTACTTGAAACAAGCTTTCATGAATGCCGAATAAAATTACACTCTGTAATGGTAGCAAACGAGTTTAGTATAAAAACTAGAATAGGGATAAAATAATTATTTTTATGCTGAAGTGCTAAATATTTACCAGAGGGCGTGGTGTTGGTGTAGTCCTGCTGGGAGTGCTGGGAGTTGGACTCCGTGGGAGTGAAGCCGATGGCGGGGGTGTTGAAGCCGGGGGTGGAGGCGGCACAGCTGCTCAGGGGAGTCGCCCCGATGTAGCTGGAGTACGGGGTGGCCGCGCTGTAACCCCAGTGGTGTCCGTTGTTCAGCCCGAACTGGCCCATGTCTAAAACAGTACACCTGATTAGTATTCCAGTCTAAAGGGGAGAATAAGAATAAAAGTGAGTAAGGGATAAAGGTAGGAGTAAGAAAAATATAAATACATTACAAGATAATCAATAGATAATAATACTCAACTAACTACCCTTTATACAGAATGCTATGCAGTTACAATGCTCCCGATCCCAAAACGTACCTTAAATTCAAAGTCCATATAAGGAAATTGAGATGAGTTAGTCAATTAAGAGTTGCAAACCCAGAACATATCAGAATCTATGCAAAAAACACAACTTTTTCGATTGAGTCTCAAGAAACTTGTATATTACAAGTACACATTATGGATGATAAATATTCAGGACGCAGTCTTTTTTAAAAAAAAATTCAGGGTAACCCACATGTTTAGGTTGAAAAAGACTGCGTCCTGAATATTTATCACCCAGGATGAAAAGGAAAAGTAAAGAATTACTATTTTTTATTTTTTTTATTTTTATATACCTAAGGAGATTTTATATACAGTGAGTGAACCGTTAGAAATCAATTAAGAAAGAAAAAAATGAGTTTATGAACTAGTATAATTTTAAACGATGTAAATTTACTCAATTTTAATAAAATGTAAATTTATATATATATATATATATATATATATATATATATATATATATATAGAGAGAGAGAGAGAGAGAGAGATTGTTAGAGAAGAAGTGATAAAAAAAATGTGTAAAACCAGTGAGTTGGGTGTATCGGTGGCTCACACCTACCCGATATTTAGCAGGAAACTCCACATTATTTTCATTTACCCTGCCACATTCCATACTCCCTCCCTCCCCGATGTAACAGCCGATATTACCCGATATCACACCCCTTCTATCGATTCCGCATCGTTTTTATTTTATATTATAATGTAAAGCGACAATTCCAACACTCGTTTATCACAGTGGGGTTGGAAATGTAGAAATGCATTTGGCATCAGTATAAACTTAAATCGTCATAAAAGTTTCATGGAATGTTTTTTATTGTATTTAAAATTAATTTTTTTTTTTTAAATATCCTAATTTGGAATTCTCATACCAGCCTGAAACGACAAGAAACCGCTCGACATTTCCAATTGCTTCAGCACTTACGAGACAAACTCTCTAAACTTCTAATTAATGGCAAAAGATTCATATACATGACTATAATAAGGCCTATTTGGTCTTACGGAGTTGAGCAAGAGGGCTTCACTAAATCTCCGGATTCCTAAAAGGTGACGGCATCGAACCCTCGGGTTCGCTAAGCCTCTTATTATTAGATTACTATACAAATGGGAAAATTTATACTAGTGCCTAAAACACAGATAAATAATTAACCTCCACTTCAGGCATATATGTACTATTTGTTCATAAAGGAAAAAAAAAAAAAACATTTTGAACTGACATCTCACCAAGCCATCAGACTAAAGGAAAAACAAGTTTGCAAAAACACAGTAGAGGAAGGTTAAATTTAACAGCTGATTAGAAGGGATGAGAAAAAAAAAACAGGCATAGTAAAAAAAAAAAATTATAATTATATAAAAATTGTTAAATAAAATAAAATGATAAATACTCAAACATTATTTATTCTATTTTATTTTTTATATTTTAATTTAATTGACACATTTTTGTATAATTATGTATATATATTTTTTTTAAATGTGCCGTACATGTATAATTGGTTGTTATATATTTTATACTTTCCAGGGGAATGTATTAGTTCTCTAGGGTTGGCGAAGAAGTCAAAATAATCGTTTAGTTATTGGTTTTTGTAAAATATTACGGTAAAATTATTTTCAATGAATAATAACATTACATATATTTTTCCAAAATTTTGAAGTTTATTTACTTTGTTCTGCTTGTGGTATTTATTATTCATGCATGAAACATATTTATATGCATATCATGTTTTATTGTATCATTTGCTATTTACTACTGACAGATTTATATGTTATATACTGTATACTATGCCTGTATTTATCTTTATTACCAGTGCTATTAATTACTATTTGTCATTTTATTGCTCGCTATATTCAGATGTATTATTTTGAATTATTGTATTATGTGGGTTATTATATTACATTTCATTGTTTATATTTAGGCATACAGTCAGATGCTTGGTTGTTATCAGAAGAGGATGTTGTCACTGAATCCTAATGAATTTCATTTTGTATATAAGTTGTAAATGTTTTCAATATTAATTTGTTCATTGTTATCATTGTAACCAACTCTATTTGTATGGGCCATTCCCCAAAAACAAATAAATAAAATAATAATAAAAATATTACGGCAAACTTGGCTGATAAATGTAAACCTTTAAGAAATGAGTAGCTTATTCCTAAAGTGAATACTAATTGCTTATTTATTTATTTATTTTTTTAAGATAAGTATCTATTGCCATGTAAACACACCGAACGAACCCAATGATGCAATTATTATGATTTTTAAGACGAACCTAAATATTAAAAACTCATCTATATATTAAATATAGTAAGACCAAGTTCACATCGTAATTTTTTCAAGGAGAGACAAATCATAAAATTAGATGGTCTATTAAATTGTATTAAATGGCGTTTTCTAATATCGATGTTATTCATTGTTTATTCTCCTTGGAACATATATATATATATATATATATATATATATATATATATATATATATATATATATATATATATATATATATATAAATATATATATTTCAATTAAATATGAAAACGAATTCTACATCTTAGGAAAGTGGGCATAGCGATGCACTTACAGAGGTTCAACAAACGTACAAACGTCCACCGCGATCCGATTACATCTCTGAAGAACAAGTCCTTTGAGAAAGCGACGGGAGGATACCACAAAGGAGACATCCCCCGTTTTTCCTCAAAAGAGTTGTTGAGATGGGGAAGGGGAGATAATAAACTACTTAGGAAACCCCAGGAGCAGACTAAACATCTCCCAGCATCCGTCAAAGACATCCGACGACATCGTAAAGTTTAGTGCTTACGGTCCATGGCTCGATTGGGCAATTATACGGTGGCGGTTCCTTTTCGACTTTATAGTTTACTGTTTTCGGATATTTGGTCAAAATATCAACACCGGCAGGATACTCCAGCGTAGAAACATTAAAAGGGGAAAACAATTTTTTAAGGTCTACTTTTTGTAAACCATAGTATTTATATAAAACCAAAGAGGGCTACTTTATGCAAAGCTGCTACCTAAACATACGATTGGATAATAATAATAATGCGTCACAACAGACCTGATATCCTTATTATGGATTTAGGAGCAAAGAAGGCAAAGTTAATTATTATCGCGATTTCCAACGATAACAATATAAGCACAACCGTGGGAGAGAAGCTCCATAAGTACCAAGAACTGGAGATCGAATTAAAGGAGTTGTACCATTTGGAGAGCGTATTAGTTACTCCAATAATAATATCAACCAATGGTCTCATCCCAAAGTCAACGGTGGCAGGTATAGCCCTGGATCCAGGGCCCAAAAATCGACCTGGTCGCAGGCAAAGTTTTGATTGTAAATTATGAAAGTGTATGTTATTCTGAGTAAAAAAAACCTTGTCTGCCGTTCCGGAGCCACTGCTTTCAAAAATGGCGGCTGATTTAAAGAATATTAGGCCAATAATTTGAGGATCGAAACGGGAAATCCATTGCAAAAAATGTGAGAAAAGTTTTTATTTTTTTAACTTGTATATATGGGTTTAGACATGTAAAAAACAAAATTGCCACTAAGGGAAAATTTTTTACAGCCAAAAAAGTCAGATTTTTTCGATATTTTTTGGGTTTTTCACCTATAGCTCCTAAACAATGCATCATAACGAAAAATGTACTCTTTAACAAATTAAAGAACGTTAAATTTTGCGTCAAACGATTACATAAACATTAAAATTTTGTTACGCCGTAAGGTATAAAACCACGGTCAACCAAAGCTGAGTTTTACCAAATGTGTCAAAAACTGAGAAAAATTACTATAAATGGTCATTTAACATGAAAATGAGTTCCCTAAGTGGAAGAACCCATAGAATCCAAGTTGCAGAGCATCATATTTTGCATCAACTAGTGCGGAATTACCCCTGCATGTGTTAAGACAGGCTCAGCAAGCGGTTCCCTTGGATACAGCCAGAATTACGAGAACGTTTTTAAATATCTAAAAAAAATGATAATTGCAGGTGGTTGGACTTGTCCCCTACCTTCAGCTTTGAATCCGCAAAAGCGAGAATAAAAAAATAATAATAATAATAAAATAAAATAACATATTGGGATCGATCTATAATTACAGACCACGCGGTAGTAAATAACAAACCGGACATTGTATTAATTGATCGGAAGAGACGAAGTGGATATGTCATTGATATAGCGGTCCCAACCGATGAGAATATCGGAAAGACTACTTCTGAAAAGATTAGAAAATATCAAGACTTGTGCCAAGAGCTTCGGCAACTTTACAAACTGAATCAAGTACAGGTATATCCAATTGTAATTTCCATCAATGGCCTCATCCCAGACGGTACCATTCGCTCTGTCGAAAATTTGAAACTGCCAGAGGAAGTGTTGGAAGAAGGGCTAAAATGACCAAGTGGAGATTTAATAAAACTCGATAGTTCCTCGGATAACCATTGCTAAGTCAGTTTTGGAACAAGTGGCTTAACATTGTTCCTGGTTTGCACTTATCAACATGGTTTAGGTACTTAAAAGCTCAGCAATACTTCTCTACGGGCTGTTAACAATCAACAAATGGTCCACCATGGGGAAGGATAATACCTAGCTTGATTCAATTACCATGGTTTTCAACAAAGGAGATCTCTCATCCAATGCATTTTTAGTATTTTCCTAATATTAATGGACAAAGTGCTATCATCTTTTATAAGTAAGTATGTATGTTGGAATAAATTAGCATAAAATCGTTGGTACAGAGTCATCGTTTGTTGGTCAACTGATGGCAGATGGAAATCATTGGGGTTTTGTTTATCACGCACAAAAGTGCTTTAAATATGAGTCCATATATTTTTAATTGGAAAGTTCGAAGTTTTTTGGAAGTCTGTGTTATTTAGCCATACCGTGAAACGTAAGGCTTAACTAAGTAACTATACGTTGTCTTATTTATAGTTCTGAAGATATGGAAAAAAAGACTAAAGAAAATAGTTTGAGTCGATTATTAAAGGTCTTCCATTTCATCCTTCAGTTATGTTAATCAAATATAGTTTTCGGTTTAAGTATATATACATTTTTATGCTGAATACTCACTCTGGCACGAGGACATGGCAGGAGGCATCCTGAAGGCAAGTGGATCAGGCGCCCTCTGGAGAGGATCCAGCCCCGAACTGAAGTGGCTGGAGAGGAAAGGTCGCTGCCCGAAGGCGAATGCGTGGAACTGCTGCTGCTGTCCTAGAACAATAATGGAAATTCATTATTATTTAGGATGTAATATATTAATTAGGAATAATATACAAAGTATATCTGAGAAGTTTGTTATTTTAAACCAGTTAACTTAAGAAATTACCTGTCAGATTTGAAAAACTATTTTTGCATCAGATATACTATTTATTGAGTAGGACATCCCGATACGATCCATAAGAACGGGACAATATGGTATGTATCGTAGAGTCTGAGGTTAAGAATAATATAAATAAATAGGCTTGGTTTAATAAAGCGCAAAAAAGGGTACAATAAAGATAAAGCTAATCGACGGACGGTCGGTGAGACACTGGAATCCGAGGTTAACAAGTACAGTTCGGTAGAATAACAGATACTGGAAGGAAGGATCGAGCCTTGGAAGATATTAGGAAAAGGTAGTAGAGTGGAGTAGAGGATCGGTTATAGATAGAAGCAAGCCGTTAGCGATGATGTTCCAAAGTGGAAGGCAGCTGTTGGTCCTTGGGAGAAGCGACAGCAGTCAAGAAGTCAGCTCAAGATGGCGGCAGTACTTTAGACCAGAAAGAAGCAGCGGAAGACTCCACCATATTCGCTCAAAGAGATAAGTTATAATTATTGAAGTTAATCGACTGTTCTACATATCATAGGTGATAAAGATTCAGGAAGTAGTCATTATAAAGTTTTAATAATTGCCGATTTGCCGAAGAACAATCGATTAACTTCCTCCAATAATGCATTAAATCATTAGGACCATCAACAACAAGAATACACGTCGTCGCTGAAATCCACCTCCTCAGAGATATGAACTCCTCGAACGTTGACAACACGATCTCACAACACACATCAAGAAAAACTTGTCATCCTGGCCCATCTCAAGCTCTACACCTTATTAGCCATCTTCTTCTACAACTCACTTCTGCTCTCTCTCTCCAGATACTTCAAACACCAGAACAGAGTCCTGATGATGACCCACATGTTTGGGTTGAAATGTCGGAACGTCGGAAGTAGATTAAATAATAAAGTCATTATTACGTACAGCATTCTATATAAAAAGGTGTTTCATACATATATTTGTTATGTTAAAATTACAAATAATTTTTTTTTTATTATTAAATATTGATTCTTTATCACATATCCTTGCATGCCACCAGATAGATATAGAAGTGATACGAATAGTAAATTGGAAACATGATATCATTGGAAAACAAACCGATAGCATTAAAGCTAAAATTTCAATCTAGCATGTTACAGCAGAGGGAGGGAAAGGTACTTTCGGGCAGAATCCTCCCCTCCCTCCCCCCTAAATGGTAAGACATAACCATGTCTTACGAAATAAATAATTTATTATTATATATGAAATTTACAACTGTACAATTAATATATATTTAACAAAAGTGATACAGAGAAATACATGACATGACAAGGCTTGTAGAGAATCTACCCATTGGTAGCACTCTAAGAAATAAATATTGATAACTTATCTCTGAAAGTATTATTGTTCGTGTAATAAATAGAACTTCAAGAATCATCTAAGCACCAGTTCATATAGGTAGTTTCTTGCTTTTTCACCCAAGTAATAATTTTTTTAATATATAAATATTGAATAAGTATTTTAAATACTTTTAAACACTTATTGTATCTTAATGTATCTTAATGCATTTAAACATTGAAATAGTATTTTGAACAATGGTATTGGCTTAATTCGGAGGATTTTAAATACTTTTTCAGACTTAGAAAAAAATGTATAAGTTTACATTTAGTAAGAAAAATTCATTTAATTCTCTTGGAAACAGATGATTTACGTTAATAATATTAGTTTAATGAAATTCGTATTTATATTTTTTTTTTTGTCCCTTTCCGCTACCTTTTACAACTTTATTTATTTGATATTATTTTTTTTCTAAAATTGCCCGCTTTCCAACGCTATATTATACGTAGACCTACTGACTATTATTTCCGGAGATTCATTTTCGAACTGGATAAGCATTTTTCTTTTTTTCTCCTTTATTCAATCATCGAATTGTTACAAAAGTTATATTTAAGTATTTTTTTATAGTTACTGTCAATAAAAGAGAGTCTGAAAAATAAAGTTTTCGGACTAAAGCCATCTCCAAAAATTAAACCCTGGACCCATTAGTGCAGCAGAATACATAAGTAACATATTTTTAAGTAGGTTGTTTTCCTTCTGGACCCGAAAGAAATATAAATATTAAATACAGTAAGGAGAGCCAGAAATGTAGCATTATAATAACCTTCCTAAGCTGTGCTGGTTCACCTTTCTTCCAATATTCGGCTGGATGTCATAGAGTGTGATCTTTGATTTGTTTTCTTTTCCGTTTCATCTGTTTCCGTTTCATTTTAATTTATACTTGCATTTTTTTCTAATATATTTATTTAGAAATATAATAATCTGTCACGTGGACAATAATTATAGTTTTATGAACACATTCACACCATATATACAGAAACATAAAATTAAAATAATAACTAAATAATAATCAAAAACTATGTATAATAAAAAATAAAATAACCTAAAGATAAGTAAATTAAAAACATAAAAACACAGTCATACCTATATACAATATATACAATCAGGCCAGGAACCCCAAGGCTTTCAACCTCCAACTATAGAAGGAAAATCAGAACTCCAAGAGATCCCTGTACTACTCTCTCAACCGCTTCTGGGCTTGCATTTTAAGGCTGCTTAAGGCTGTCTATTTGGACTTTTTTTGGGGGGGGGAGGGGGAGAACAATTATAACCTCATTGAATACATGTTTGTTTTGAGATTTACTCGTTTACATTACTATAAAAATAAATTAAAAAATGTTGTAAACATTTTCTTTGGAAAACATCTATCTCACCAATGTTCTTGGGCTTATCACAAACGGTGGGCGGGTCCAACAGGTACCCCGAGAGAGAGGAGAGGATTGGTGGAGTGGGGTGGAGACAGAGTAGGAGGGACGTCCTTAATATCCCGGATTAAGCTCCTTGAGGAGGGTTTGAGGAGATTAGGAGCAAGGATTAATATCTTTAGCCACCGGGTAGCTTGCGGTCAATGTTTGGCCACGCTCTTCCGGGTCTGTCAATGGTAAGGGAGGAGGAAGTCTTCTGGAAACGAGGCGAAGGCAACGACAAAGCTTTTTTCTTTGTTTAAATATTTCTATTTCTATTTAGAGGACTGAACATTTTTCATTTGTGATTAAATATAGTTCATATTTCAGCTATTTATATAATTTTAAGTTTAATTCTGAACTCAAGTACGGCATTTGTATAAATTAATTAATTATAAAAATGGAGGGCAACAAGTTCATTTTTTTTCGGTTCGTCTCTTTATATCAGAGAATCTATGCGCATTAGTGATAAATAAATTCTATATAGAATTAAAGCTGATGAAATTTATAAGATTGATGATATCAATTCTTTTGTTATATGTCGTTGTTGCGGAGATATCTGTGCTCAATCTTAACTGATTTCGAGAAAAAAAGTTCAGTATTTCATCCTCTTTATAAAGAGCTTATTGATGTTTTCCCTTCAATCTTGTGGTCTAAAGAACATAACTTAGTTGTTTTTTTTATATGTAACTAAACATTTAATTCTAATTTGCATAACCAATATTTATTTCGATACTGATTCTTTATAGGCCCTCTTCAAAATTATTATCTCGAATTGGCAACCAATTAAAACAAAAATATTAAATCGTAATAACAATGATAAATTTAGACGGTGGGCGATTTATGGGATGGGTCTGGTTCATATAATCTGTGATTTTGAGGTGGTGTTTAGCAGTCCTGGGCAGAACATTCTTTTTAAACAATAAGCTTAAAATAACGAGTATTTTGTATTTCTATAATATAATTTTAATCCCCAAATATTTAAATTGTTTACAGAAAAATGTTTTTATTGTTTACAGAAGTATTTCGAATTTGAAATGTAAATATTTAGTAAATTAAGGAAGAAGATGGTCCGGGGTGGCGGTCATAGAATGACTAAATAGTGGCAATAGTATTGCCACTATTTAGTCATTCTATCTTAGTATTGTCTTCTATCTTAGTATTGCCGCAATACTATTGTATTAAAAAACAATCGTTCGATCCGACTTTGTAGGTCTTCTTCAAGGCTAGAACGGACAAGATACAAAGAGATATATAGAATTGTGGAAGTTACATAATATTTAGACAAAAAATTATAAACAATGAGAATAAAATTATGAACAGTAAGTACTTTAAAATATAAACAGAGCAAGCTTAATAACAAGATCCTCAACTGAAGTAAATAGATGGTAACAATTGTTTCTTTTATCCTCTCTTACACGGCGTCGCGTTAAGATACAATTTTGAATAATAGCTCATTGCAAAAAAGTTTGAAATGATGAACATTTTCCTCACTTACAGTGTGCAGTTCCGATTTTTAGTTTTTGAAATATTTTAATCCATACGCTGAAACACTTCAATTAGTCGACTCCAGCCGACTTTACTCGAGTGTTACACATCAGAGATCTGACGGCTCAATCAATTTCACTCTCCACAAAAAAAGTGCAAAACGCGCATAAGATTTTTTCACTTTAAAAATGTAAGCTGAAGTATGCATGTGTTTTTTGATTAATTTTAATTTTCTTATTTTTAGGTTATTTTATTTTATTTATTGTATATACATTTTGATTATTATTTATTGTTATTTTGCCTCTATTTATTTTACATTTTTTGTACATATAGTGTGAATGTCATCCTACCCCACTATAACTAATGTCTATGTGACAGATTGTTGTAATACTCAATAAATAAATTGTAAAAAAGATGTAATAAATTTTTTTAACAATCCTGATTTGTAATTAACAGCCAACAGAGTTACGTCTCCATTATGTGACATCATCAAAGCAATCCTACTTACTAGACTTCAATTACAGTAACTTATAGTGATATTTTTCCCTCATTGAATATGTTAATAAGATATTATTGTCCATGACTGTACTAGCTTCTTAGTGTACAACAGTTGATGAACCGTCTGTTTTAATTCATGTAGGTGGTTTTTACTTAATTGTTTTTGAAAAAAAGTTATAAAAACTAGACATTGATGTACTTGAAAGCCTTCAGTGCTCGAACCACGCCCTGAAGATGACCCACATGTTTAGATTGAAACGTTGGCACAAATAAAAAATTATTTTTTTTTTTTTTAAATACTGAATATTTATCACCCATGATATTTAGAACATTGGACTAGCTTCCTTCAATAGATATTGATACTATGTCACAATCCACTCTCCTCTTCCTGAAATGGACTGACGATGACGATGAAGCAAAAGAGGGCCGTGTGAACTTCCCAATGCGGCCGCTAACAGCCTGTAAAACCGATCGCCTCCCCCCCACCAATCTCCTCCCTCAACTTGGCTACTTGTGGGAGACTCTACAGCTGACCGCTTCTCCATATTGGTCAAGTCTGGCCACTTCAGGATTTGGGTACTTAGCTCCGTCTGCTTGTACCGCGGTGCTTCTAGCCGTAGTAAGCTAAGACCTGTGTATCAATAACTAGGATTTAATATAATTACAATCGGCTTCAGTTAGCGTTGCCCAAAATCGGTTTTGGTCTTGGAATCGCTAACTGAAGCCGATTGTAATTATATTAAATCCTAGTTATTGATACACAGGTCTTAGCTTACTACTTATTAATAATTACCAATATACCTTTCCATTTAACTCTTGTAATTTTTCATTCGAGCTTAGTTAAGTTTCTCCTATCTAAAAAATTACAGTAATATCTCTATAGCACTAAGCTAATTAGTAACTGCAAGACTGTTGCGAGACTCTTACGCAAGACCAAGACCATGGTCAAGACTGAGTTTGCAAGTCCAAGACTCATCTCGGTCTCGCATTTGGGCAACACTGACTTCAGTGCTTAAGTTTATCGATAAATTTTAACTGGGAGATTTATCATTGCTATTTATTTTTTTAAAGTAAAAACTTCTTTTGCAGCTTGTTTTGCACTTTTTGGAGAGTGAATTAGATTGAGCCGTCAGATCTCCGACGTTTAACGCTCGGCTAAAGGCGGCTGGAGTTGACTAATTGAAGTGTTTTTCTATATGGATTAAAATATCTCAAAAATCGGACCTGCATACTTTAAGCGAGGAAGTTGTTCAGCATTTCATGATTCCTGTAATGAGCTGTTATTCAAAATTTTTAACTTTTCCTACATTTTAAATTTAACTTAGGAAAAATCATTTATTTATTTTTTTCCGAAATTGTAATAAAAAAAATAACATTTTATATTGATGGGTCATAGTCCGTGGTACAGACCCTTTTTCAACGAATTATTAAAAGACGCCTGAAAATTCGTAAATAGTTTCATCTCATCGTAACCTACAACTGTTTTATTTACGAAAACTCTTGGAATCGGGGCGTTTTCAATCTGAAGGGGGACAAACTTTGTGTATTTAATTAGGTGCCAAAAACTCGTAAATACCCATTTGCTTTCGAATTGCATCGTAACATAATTTGATCACTAAATCGACAAAAAAAGTGGCCTTTAAAAATATTGATCCGTTTGGCGTGAACTACACACCCAAATTTTCAAAATAACGAGGTTACATAGGACAAATGGCCCAATATTTTTTTAGGCCAACTTTTTAAACTATTTTTTGATCTAATTATATAACGATCAAAGTAGAAAGCAAATGGATATTTACGAGTTTTTAGTACCTAATTATATAGACAAAGTTTGCCCCTCTCCAGATTGAAAACGCCCTAATAAAATAGTTGTAGGTTACGATGAGATGAAACTATGAAGTTTCAGGCTGATGTTAATAATTGGATAAAAATAAAACCACGGACTATCATCTTTTCAGTTAGAAATTGAATATATTTTATACTGATATACAGTATTAATTCCGTTATTTGACTGTAGTTTATAGTGAAAAATCGGTCAGTTAATGTTTATGGTAAATATTTTATCAATTTTTTTTTCGGTTGGCACTACAGACCATGAAGATCTTTGGCCGCAAGATATGGTCTCCTTACAGACGTATGTTGCTTGCGGGAGCACATTCGGCCTTAAGGGGGTCACCCAACCTCACGTTCTTTATCAAAATTATTTATGATACTTATAAAATTCACCAAATAGACTTAGTTTATTTTGCTTAGCCAGACTCCCGCATAGCGCTGATACAGTCGAGGTCAGTAAAAAAATTTCATTTTATTTACAACCCTCCGAGGCGTCTGAAAAGAAGATGGCCTCGAGATCTCTTATTGCAAATACATTTTGTTTTTAGAGTGCTACCAGTGGGTAGTTTCTCAACAAGTCATTTCATTCTGTTATCAAATTT